TATGATTAACTACTTTAAAATGCTTTCCTGCTATTTTAAGACTTTAGCCAACTGTTGTACAGTTTTATTTCTGATGACTATTTAGAGTGTTCATTTTTATTTGGGGGGTACTGGGATGAATTTTTGGATGAAATATGTGATACCTGAAAAAGAAGACAGACACTAAATAGTAGAAATTTTGTATTAAGTCTTGCAAGCTGCTTTATAATACAGTTTGCACCTCTGCTCTGCCCTGTAGCTTTTCCCTTTCAAACTCTAAGTTATATGGGATATTTTTGTGAGTTTCGTAGGTAATTATTTAATGTGAATAATACTACTGCATGAAGCACCAGGTGGCTCTGTGAAGTCATTTAGAAAATGTATACAAAAGATGTTTTATTCCTATATTTATCAGCTAAGCAATAACCATGAGATCATGGCAGCCAGTCCACCTGGGTTTAATCTCAGATCTGCAAACTGTCTAATATGCTGAGTGATAAGTCTTTAAGCTAGCTTTTTTGATAGAACAGTGTGTTGGAAGATGAGAAGATTGGGCTGATTTAGGGAATATTCTTCTGAGGGTTTCACCCCCTGCTTCTTTGCTTCTAACCATCTTTGAAAGAAAGTTGTTTTTTTTAATGTCTGCACATGCCTCTTGTTTGTATTGGTTCAGCACCTTGTCAAACAGACATAAAAGAAACCCCTCTGATTAATGCTGATCACTGCTGCTGCTAGCACGGGATCAGCCCACAAAGCAGGACAGAAACAGGCACAAAAGATGGAACTGTAAACTAAAATATTGCTTTTTTTGATGCTAGTGATATATTCTCAACAGGCAATGTAATTGTTTGTACCAGCCAAAACATGCTGAAAACACATTTTCACCATTTCCTTCCAAAAATTCCCTAATTTTCATCTAAAACCTTTTTCCTAATCCTTTGTGAGCTGCACAGGCAGTGCCAAATTGAAATTTATGGTGAAGATTTCAAACTTTTAGCAAGAAGTTAATGAAGGCAAAGGCTCTGTGTGTCCAGCTTGTGTCTGTGTGACAAACCAGGTGAGACATGGGGAGGGAACCAGGATCCTGCTTGTCTTTTTGGATTTATGTCAAGTATTTGTGCCATTGTCTTAGGGCAAAATCAAGAGCTATGAATTCTAGTTTAAAGTATATGAATCCTCAGAGTAAATAAAGGAGTCCAAATCCATCCTACTTTGAAAAAACATAATTTTAAAAAAAATTTTATTTCAGTAAGCCTTGCTGATGTAGGAGGGCTTGTAATATTGGAAATTAAGTGGTTTCAAGGAGATGTTACTCTACTGTCCACGCCATTCTTTGCTTTGCAGTCTTGTGGCACAGAAATTGCTTCTTCCATTTTGTTTTTGTAGCTTGTAGGAACCACAACTTATTTGTTATTTAGGAATTTGGTGGTGGGGGAGAGGCAGATGCTCTTCTCTGCTGCTGTATATGCTGCAGTGTTTGCGTTTCCACTGTCATCTGATCAGGTCTGGGTTTCTTTTGCTGATTACATAAAATGAGGTCAGTGGCTTCACAACAAAGTGTTGTAATATGTAATTAGTCCTGTATTTTTCTGAATTTGAGAGAGATAATTGCCTTTTCAAGATTTAAGTGGAAACAAATAGATCCATCTCTTAGACTATACTATAGGATTTCCATGTAAACATGCACATGTTGTAGAGCATAATGTAGTTTGAAAATAAGCAAGATCTGTACTGTGACCTGGGATGAGGAGCCCAGTGGGAAAGTGTTCCTGGCACAGTGGTTTTAGTATAATGACTTTTGCAACACTCACTGATCACAGCTGGTGTGGGAGCTTTAGTGACCCTATTTTGGTAATATCTAGAACCCTTCAAGGGCTCAAGCTTGTTCTAACTTATGTTGGTGGGATAACTTGGCACACAGGGCCTACAAAGTGAAGCAGTTGCCAAAAACTACTACCTTCAAATATGCTTCTCTACTAAGAGGAGCTGTGTGATCCTGGGATCCAGCCAAAAATTGAGGCTAAGAGCATCAAATCAGTGCAATGGCTTTTACCACACCCCTTGGATAGATAAGGGAAACACAGAAGAGTTAGTGCTGCTGTTTTTGTTGGCTAAGCCTCAGAAACAGAGAGGTTAAATGAAACAAAAGCTAACTTTTAAACATTATCTAGTCTCTGAGGCTTAGCTTTGGATTTCAGAATGCTCATCTCTTTCTTACACATTTCTCTGGTGTGGGTTTTTCCTACTGATAAGTGAAAATGAGCCTAATAGCCTAATTCAGCTTGACCCCAGCAGAAACTTTAGTTGAGATATTAAGTGGATATAGTCATCCTCTTGAAAAGTTGAAATAATTTCATTTAATTTGCATACCTAAGAATAAAAAAGCCATTTCATTTCTCAGAAAGATATTAAATGATGTTTCTCTTGGGTTCCTGTCTGCTTAGAGGGATATCTTACAGTGTGTTTTCCAAACATGTTTGAAATATTAGGGATGAGAAGGATTTTTGAGCTGCATGCACTCTTGTCCTTAAGAACTAAAATAATAATAAATATCTGATCCTGAAGTCTTTGCTCATGCAAGTAGTTGTTTACATGAGCAAACCTACTGATTTTAAAGGCTTATTTGAGAAAGGGTTGTTCCTTTCAGTGAACTCTGCCAGCCACAAGCCTTTGAGGACTACATGCTACAGGCACAGTAGATGTGTGATATTTTAGAGTCTGGCCAGAGACCCAAGAGGATGACAAATGATGTTCAGAAAATAAAGGAGTTCTTTGACACTCCTGCAATTTTTGTTTTCCCCACTCCTAAACTCTCTCAGCAAAGAAAATGTTTTACCTTGGTCCCTGGTAATGGTTCTAAGACAACTCTAAACTGCCTAGCATGGCTGTGGGGACTCTGTATCACAAGCAAGGACATCAGCAGATATCCTGTGTAAAATTTTCCTGGCTGTTTCTTTTTCCTCCAGCCTTCCAGAGTTGTCAGTTTTCCCTTGAAAGCCTTGGTTCATAGACATTTTAGGGGCTGGGCTGTGCCTCTGGTAGCTGGATAACACAGCCTGGCTTGTTACCTTGAATACCAGTCCTTTCCCCAAATCACATTTTATAAATCTACATAATTTTCTACAGCTTACTGCTAGGATATTTGAAGACATAAGTTGCTCAGGACTTATTGACAATGTATTATTAGGTTTTTCAGCTCTGTAGACAAATCTAGTCTTCCAGTGCATTTTTTTAAGGAATTTCAGCAAAGCTTGAATAAAATCTAAGGCCACACACATCAGCCAGGTCTCCAATATCAGCATTACAAGATTCAAGAGCTCTTCAGTATGATTGGATAGAGATGAGATAGTGGTAATTTATTTTACATCATCTTAACCAGGTGAATCTAAGAAGGACATCTGTACTAAAATAAATGCTAGCTTGCAGTGAATTTCCTTGTGTTCCTAGACCTTTCCTGATATCGATACACCAGAGACTCACCCTGTCAGAGGAGTCTTTATGTATCAGAATGCGATTTTGGGATATAACCTGATGATGTTCTTGTAACAAAGGGAGTGAATTGCATAGGGGAGGAAAGGAATCACTTCTGGCTGCCATCAGTCTCTGCATTTCATAGGGTGAAATCCAGTGCTTTCAATTCTGTGTTATGGTGGTAGCTTTTTTTCAGGGGGTTCATGCAGTAGTGTAAGGATTTATTGTTTGGATTCAAATTGTAGCAGAGAAGTTTGTTATTATATATATATATATAGAATATTAAAGTGCCTTGTGTTTTTCTGGAGAGCCCCAAAAAGGTGTAAGCCTGTTGATACCATTATGCAGGCTTGCCCTTGAGAGTGACAGGCAGTTAAGTCACGCTTACTTGTCTGTGATGTGCTTGTGATGGCCACTGCTGGGGCTGGCAGTGCCATCCAGGACCTCTCATGGTTTCTTGGTATAAGTGAAAAAAGCAATTGTGCAAAAAACAGAGGTACCTAGGAAAAATAAGTTTGCTCAGACAGACTTGAGCGGTGAAGCAAGTATTCAAGAAGTTCTGCATTTGTCCTCTGGGACAGAATGCTTTGTATGAGAGCTACTGGAGACCAAGTGACTTAATATTTAATTAGATGTCAAATGAAATTACTGTTAGAAGACTTTATTTATTTATTTATTTATTTAGTGACATGCAGTAACAGGATAGAATTGTTAAAGTGAGTGCCTGTATAACAGTGTAAAAAACCATTCATATTTAGACCTTTCACACTGGTGCCCTGACTCTTGTGTTTCTCAGCATTGCTCACCTTGAGCAACCACGGATCACTGTTAGAGAATGCATTGTCACTAGTGGAAAATCACCAACTCTTAAATTGCTGACCTTGACTCTGATGTGATTATTCACTACTTAGAAAATAAGTAACAAACTCTCTCGTCTGTGATGACCTGCCATGCAAGTTAGCAGCCTCCTCTCCAAGGCCCAAAGAGTGCAAATTGATATGAAGATGCAACTTAGCGGGTCAAACCAATGTGAGGTCAGCTTCATACCCTAAGTCAATAAGGTTTCATTTGCTGACTGACAGGGGTCTTACAATCCGCTATGAGATCACCCAGCATCACTCCTTGTTTTATTTATGTGGGAATAAAGCAAAAATATATGCATTATATCCCTGTTGTGTCTAGTTATAATGATGGAGAATGTCTCCGGCTGACCAAGGTGTCCTCATTAATGATTGTTCTATATTTAGCCCTTGCAGACACTATGTGCCCCCAGTTTAATCAAAGACCTGGTAGTCATGGTAACAACACAGAGCATCTGGATGTGTATGATTTGCCAAACACTGTAATAAAGTGCAAGATGAAAAGAACACACAACAGCGTTAGGTGAATTCATGTATTGTTCTTTTCTACTGCAGATTTTGAAGTGTTTATAATAGCTCACTAGCCATAAATGCTAGATTGTTTTTGCAGAAAACAGCCCTGTTAACACAGGTGACAATTACTAATCTCTTTCTTTTTGTTTTGTTTTGTTTCTTAATTTCATTTTGCAGGTGTATCGGCATTCATATACAGCATATTATGTCCTCAGCAAAATACCTCATGGGTAAGCAATTATTCAATGTCTTCATTTTAATGCTTAGCCATTAAGAATTCTGCAAAATATTATGTATCGTGACAAATGGTTTCCTGTGACAGCCCTTTGCAATGGACTGGCATTCAGCTGAAGCATCCACTGAGCTGTGTGTTGTGCAAAAGATGACATAGTCTGGAAACAGAAGTACTCAGCTTCCCCAGAGAGCCAGACTACATGAATTTCATATTCCAGATTTCAAGTTTTTGGCTAGAATATAGATGCGTTGGCATCCGGCTGAAAGCTGCCATTGGCCACTCACCAGAGCACTGTCAGAGGATCTATCCAGGGGTATTTAGTCCCATAACTTTGGTCAAAATTGAGGCATCACCTCATTTGGGTCTCTTGATGGATTCACTTGATACAAATGCTTATTCTAACATCCCATCTGAAGGCAGACAGACCACTAATCTGTTCCCAGTATCCTGATGCTGCTTAGACACATGCACTCACAATTATACTGAAGATATGAGCCTTTGGGCTTATAATTTATCTTTTCAGAGAGTGTGAGGTAAGTGCAGACAAACAAGAATGCTGCATAGGCTTTACACAGCATTTCTAAACTTAATGAAAGAGCATTGCTTACCCAAAGAGCATAGCGTGAAAGGTTATATATCGTTACAAGTAATAAACTTCCATCACACAATGTCTGTTCATTTAGGTCCCCCTATGCACTGGAGGCCCTGAGGTAGGCTCAGTGTTTAACATAGGCATCAGTTAGCTTGAGGGGATCCTTCTTTAGCTTTGATTAGTTGCAGTTTTTTAAATTCTCCTTTCTCAGCTTTGTCTTCGTGGCATTGCAAATAATGGGGCTCTGAGCAACCTGATCTGGTTGAGGATGTCTCTGCTCATTGCAGTGGCATTGGACTAGATGACCACTAAAGGTTCCTTCCAACCCAAACCATTCTGTGATTCTGTGATTTCTCACCATCAGCCATGTCAAAGCTCTGGTGTCCCAGTGTGACATGCTCCAGACTTCTTCAGTCTCATTCATTCCCTGCCTCAGTATGGTCTTCATTTTGGTTTTGTTGGTTTTTGGTTTTTTTTGCCCTCGCAGGATCTTACTGGATTTATTTAATTTTTGAAAACTCCACCTTTCTGGCAGTATATCTGAAATTAGCTTGTGGGCTGAAAGGGTGCTGAGCAACAAGACGAACACACAGCATGAGCACATAAGCTTTGTACCTGCAGTGAATCTGGCTAAGAGCACAAGCATTTGACTGACAGCACAGTTCTATTCCAGACAAAACAAAGGTAGAAAAATAGAAGTATCATGCATACTATGTATCAGAAATATTAAAAATTAATGACACAGGGGTTCAGGCAGTTTGCTACTACTGCATGATCTTTCTTCATCCCTGACAACCGGCTTCTTGTTCCTCCCAGCTTCAGCGATATTGCACCTCAGTGATGTTTCACCTTGCTCTCTGTGTTTGGTTGAGCAGTAGTGCAGGCAGTTGGAGGAGTGGATGTGTCAGAGGAGAAGTATCCAGTGTAAGGGGAAGATTTGGAAAATGAGAGGGTAACAACTGGCATGCAGGTGAGTTAGGTGTCGGTGTCCCCACAGGAGGATGCAGTGATGGACCAGGCGACAGCTGGCAGGAGGAAGGTTGGAAGGATTGCTGCCTGTCATGGTGGTACAGGTACAGTCTACAAAGTGGTTTAGGCTTTAGGTACGCATACAAGCATTGCAAACCGTATTGTACAGTTGCACTGCATTTCAGGTGATCACAGTGCATGTGAGTGGTAGAAAGAGTGATGCATTGCCATGTTCCTGGAACATGGGCATTTATCATTCCTGTGGAGCTCTGTGTGTTTTTTAGGGTGGTGCATGAAGAGAGCACAGATGTAGCAGGTGATGAAATGCATCAACTGAGAGTAGGGACTATTGAATGAAGGGATGAAAATCTCTTCATCATGCATTTCATATGTAACACAGGAATTTTGGTCTGATGGATGTGTGTGGATGAAGATTGCTGAGGGCAGGACCCAGCACACTGACACAGCACAAGGTGCAGTTTCATTTGATGTTCCAGGTCCTTTGGTGATGACAACATTTGCATGCAGGCAGCATCCTTACCCTCCACCTGATGATAATACGAGTGAAAAAAGCCTTTGGTTCTGAGCAACAACCCCTTTACCATTTCTGCAAACTCTGTTTTCACGCATTAGTCCTCTTAGCACCAGCTTTACACCCAATCAGTGGGTGCCTGTGGCTCCTCAGTGTTCCTCCAAATCAGCAGTGACTGCTGGTAAGCAAACACACGCCCCTCTGCAACATCCCTCCTACTCATAGACACTCACCTGGCAAGAGGCTGTGGCAGTGTGATTTCCCTGTGCTTTTTCCACCCTGTTCCCCATCCTCAGGCATGTTCTGCCTCATCAGGAAGGCCAGACAGTTCAGGCTTTGTACACACTCATGTCCTTGCTACACCCCTGCTGAGGCTGACTAATAAGAAAGCTAATTAATCTAATCTTTGGCATCACTTTTTAGATAATGTGACATTAATCTGCCAGCATAAATTGCTTTTTAAAGGCAAATTTCCAATTATTTTTGCTATGTTCTGCAAACTCTACAGATTCAGGCTGTGTCTGAAGTCAAAAGGGTCTTGTACCAGTGTTTTCCAGGTTTCTTTCTGAGCTCACTGTAAGTTTGACAAGCAAATTTGGGCCTGTCCTTAGCACATAAGTTAAAAAATGGTATTTTATACAGGGTGGGTGCAGGACTGCAAATTTTTTCCATGAGAGCTGTTGCGGAAGTAAACTCCTCAGATAAGGAGTAGCAGCACAGTTTGACTCTCCGTAGGATAACTAATATATGCATGCCAAATAACATAGACTCAAAGAATCTTATTTAAAAATGAAAATAAACCCGAAGTAGAAGAAAGAGTAAATATCCCTGCAGGGACCCAGCACAGATTTAATTTCTCCTTTTTTGCTATTTCAGCCCTCTCACAGTCTCTTGGTAAACTGTGTAGAAACCCCTACAGTTTTTGCTGCATTTGCCTTCTGTTTCCAATGGCCCGTGGTTTTCAGTTTTCACAGGGGGAGCCAGCTGCGACCTGTAGTTCTCATTTTCCAGGGCTGAGGCGTGGAGGGAGGGAGGTTATGTTCAGTTCAGCTTTCCTGCTTGTCACCCATTTTTCTCCTGCTTTTCACCCGAAAAACGAGATGCTGGCGCCGGGTGCCATCTAGTGGAACCATCCCCTGTGCTTGCCGTTTGTGTTCCTTGGTACAAGCATCTCTGTACGGTCCCATCTGCTTCCTCTGAACGGTGCTGCTTTTTGGATCTGTCTGCCAATAACTGCTTACGGCTATCTGCATTATAAATAATTTTGCAAAGCTCCTTTCATTACCCCACAGTTGCACTTTCCACACTCTAATTTCCAGCTAGTTGTAATTTATAGGTGCTGCGATAGCATCTGCAGGTCTAGATGTGGAACAGAGAGCTCTTGTTCAAGGTGCTGGGGAGAAGTGGAGCATAAATACCATATAGCTATTTCCTAACATAATTTTTCTTGATTTTGGGAAATAAAAAGTTAGCAATGCAATGTAGGCAACAACCTGCTTGTGAAATCCAACCACTGAAAATCATTTTATTCTTTTAATAATGTTGATCCCACTGAATCTGATACAAATGATCTTGGTCTGTCATGTCCTTCACTGAAATAGGGAAAAAGCTTGCTTTGTTTGTTGTTTTCATGGTGAGGCCATGACTGACCAGAGTAATTCCCTAACCCTGCTACAGAGTTTCCCTCACCAGTGTTAAGGTCATTTCACACCGGTGTATGTTGCTGGGCCACTGGTTTGATCTGGCATTGCAGATCCTAAGCAAGAGCTAATCTTTGATTGCCATCCAATGGGGTACCTCTATCTTAAACGTTTTCCTGCAGCAGAAGGGATTTTACATTTTTTTACAGTTCTGTGTTGTGTTTGCATTTCCCAAAATAAAGCTCAACATAAAACATGCATCTGCTCAGACTTCCCAGTGCTCATCCGCTTCTGCACACAGTAAAGCGGCAGGGATTAGTGCTGACGCCCTCCTGTGAGCTCTCAGCACCATGCTAGCACATCCAGCTGGGGCGCGTCCGTGGAAGCTTCCAAATACGCTTATAGAGACCAGTGAGAAAATCAGCAGTTATTCCCACCCCTCATTGATTTTGTGTATGGATGCAAAAAAAGGACACAGTTGCTCCTATGCAGAATTCATACTTCTTCCCAAATTTATATGGTGTAGTTAGAGAAACATGGTAAGTAGCTTACAGGAGCAATCGCAGAGCTGAGTTCAGCTCTTCCTATTTGTAAAATACTGCATGTGTAAAATCCCTCACTCAGAACTCCCAGTAATTTCAAGAGAGGTCCCATGAGTGCAGTGAGTGCCAAATATACATTGGAGATCCGTAAAAGTGATAACAGGATGAACTGAGCTCGTGCTTCACTGTGAGTAAATTTTCAAAGTGATGTCTGTAGATCTCTCTGCAGAGCTCTCGCTGACGTTCCTGTCTCCTTTTTTACAGACTATTGGCAGCAAAGAGGTTAAAGTCAATGGAAGAAAACTTAATCAGGCTTTCTATATACCCTAATGTATAATACTTTAAAAGACCACAAGGTTTTCATTACACATGCTCCCATTTTCATGTTAACAGTAAAAGAAAAACGTGTTTCCTTATTTAAAATCATGGCTAAAAAAACCTCAGGGAACTGGCTCTGCTGCAGTCATCTGCCTGTTTGACCAAGACTACTCTGTTTTATTTTGTTCTGGCTAGTTATGCCCCTTCTCTGTAGTGTTAAAGAAACTTCCTGTGCCTCAGCGTCCCCATCTGCAAAGCAAGGAGAGAAATATTGCTCACCCAACAGAGGCGATATGTGATAATTACCATAGAGTGCTGCACAGTTTCACTATTTAACACTTATAAACTTGTAGTAGAGCCCACATTTTATTTTAAGAGGAAAAAGTACTGTAATTAATAGAG